CTTTTATTTTTCCATATGAATTTCATGATAGCTTTATCTATTTCTACAAGAAATGCCATTGGGATTTTGATTGGCATTGCATTAAACCTATAGAGAACTTTTGGTAATATCGCCATTTTGATGATGTTAGTTCTGCCTATCCAAGAACAGGGTATATTTTTCCATCTTCTAAGATCTTTTTCTATTTCTCTCTTTAGGGTTCTGTAGTTTTCATTGTATAAATCTTTCACCTCTTTTGTTAGGTTGATTCCCAAGTATTTTATTTTTTTTGAGGATATTGTGAATGGAGTGTTTTTCCTCATTTCCGTTTCAGAAGTTTTGTCACTGATATACAGAAATGCCTTTGATTTATGCGTGTTGATTTTATATCCTGCCATTTTGCTGAATTCATTTATTAGTTCTAGTAGTTTTTTTGTAGACCCTTTTGGGTCTTCTAGGTATAGAACCATGTCAGCCGCAAATACTGATAATTTAAGTTCTTCTTTTCCTATTTTTATGCTTTTAATTTCTTTCGTCTGTCTAATTGCTCTGGCCAGTATTTCGAGAACTATATTGAATAGAAGTGGTGATAGAGGGCATCCCTGTCTTGTTCCACATTTTAGAGGGAATGCCTTCAATTTTTCTCCATTCAGAATGATGCTAGCCTGAGGCTTAGCATAGATAGCTTTTACAATGTTGAGGTAAGTTCCTGTTATCCCTAGTTTTTCTAATGTTTTGAACATAAAGGGATGCTGTACTTTGTTGAATGCTTTTTCAGCGTCTATCGAGATGATCATATGGTTCTTATCTTTAAGTCTATTGATGTGGTGAATAACATTTATTGATTTCTGTATATTGAACCATCCTTGCATCCCAGGGATGAATCCAACTTGATCATGGTGCACAATTTTTTTGATGTGTTTTTGTATCCGATTCGCCAGAATTTTATTGAGGATTTTTGCATCTAGGTTCATTAGGGATATTGGTCTGTAGTTTTCTTTCTTTGAGGTGTCTTTGTCTGGTTTCAGAATCAGGGTGATGTTGGCCTCATAGAATGAATTTGGAAGAACTCCCTCTTTTTCTATTTCCTGAAATAACTTGAAAAGTATTGGTATTAATTCTTCTTTGAAGGTTTTGTAAAACTCCGCTGTATACCCATCCGGTCCTGGGCTTTTCTTGGTTGGTAGTCTTTTGATTGTTTCTTCTATTTCATCCATTGATATTGGTCATTGGTCTGTTCAAATTGTGTGTATCCTTTTGACTCAGTCTGGGCAAATCATATGACTTAAGAAATTTATCGGTGTCTTCACTATCTTCTATTTTATTGGAATATAGGTTTTCAAAATAATTTCTAATTGTCTTCTGTATTTCTGTAGCATCTGTTGTGATATTGCCTTTTTCATCCCGTATGTTAGTAATTTGAGTTCTCTCTCTTCTTCTCTTCATTAGCATGGCTAAGGGTCTGTCGATCTTATTTATTTTTTCGAAGAACCAACTTTTAGTTTTGTTAATTTTTTCAATAGTTTCTTTTGTTTCAATTTCATTGATTTCCGCTCTGATTTTAATTATTTTTTGCCTTCTGCTACATTTGCTGTTGTTTTGCTCTTCCTTTTCTAGGGCTTTGAGATGAAGTGTGAGCTCATTTATTTGTTGGTTTTTTCTTTTTTTGAGGAATGACCTCTAGGCGATGAATTTCCCTCTTAAAACTGCTTTCATTGTGTCCCATAGATTCCAATATGTTGTGTCTGTATTTTCATTTATCTCTAAGAATTTTTTGATTTCCTCCTTTATGTCTTCTGTAACCCATTGATCATTCAGTAACATATTGTTCATTTTCCATGTGATGTAGGATTTTTCCTTCCTTCTTTTATCATTGATTTCCAGTTTCATTCCATTATGATCATATAAATGCATGGTATTATCTCCACCCCTTTATATTTACTGAGGGTTGCCCTATGGCATAATATATGGTCTATTTTTGAGAAGGATCCATGTGCTGCTGAGAAAAAAGCATATCCACTTGATGATGGTTGATATATTCTATATATGTCAGTTAAGTCTAGGTTATTGATTGTGATATTGAGTTCTATAGTTTCTTTATTCAACTTTTGTTTGGAGGATCTGTCCAATGGTGAGAGAGGTGTGTTGAAGTCACCCATAATTATTGTGTTGTGGTCTATTTGATTCTTGAACTTGAGGAGAATTTGTTTTATGAACATCATAGCACCATTATTTGGTGCATAAATATTGATAATTGTTATGTCTTGTTGGTGAATGTTTCCTTTTAACAGTATATAATGTCCTTCCTTATCCCTTTTGATTAACTTAGTCTTGAAGTCGATTTTATTCGATATGACGATGGCCACCCCTGCTTGCTTACGAGGACCGTGTGCGTGATATATTTTTTCCCAACTTTTCACCTTCAGCCTGTGTATGTCTTTTCCAATCAGATGTGTCTCCTGGAGGCAGCATATTGTTGGATTTGTTTTTTTAATCCATGTTACCAGCCTATGTTGCTTTATTGGAGAGTTTAAGCCATTAACGTTTAGAGTTACTATTGATATATGGTTTGTACTTCCAACCATGTTTGATTATTTATCTTTTTTTTTTTTTAATTTAGTTTGTTTCTCCATGATTAGCTTTCCCCCTGCCCTCTGTCTTTACTGAGGCACTTCCCACTGATGGTTTTGGTTATTGTTTTTCATTTCTTCCTCATGTAGTGTTTTGCTCAAGATGCTTTGCAATGCTGGTTTTCTGGCTGCAAATTCTTTTAACTTTTGTTTATCATGAAAGATTTTTATTTCGTTGTCGTCTCTGAAGCTTAATTTTGCTGGATACAGAATTCTTGGTTGGCATCCATTGTCTTTCAGTGTTTGAAATACGTTGTTCCAGGATCTTCACGCTTTCAGCGTCTGTGATGAAAAATCCGTTGTTAACCTTATCGGTTTACCCCTGAATGTAATCTGCCTCCTTTCTCTTGTAGCTTTTAATATTTTCTCTTCGTTCTGTGTATTGGATATCTTCATAACAATGTGTCTTGGCGTTGGTCTACTGTGATTTTGTATGCTTGGTGTCCTGTATGCATCTACAATTTGTATATCCGTTTCCTTTTTTATTTCTGGAAAGTTTTCTGTAATTATTTCATTCAGCAGGTTACTCATTCCATTGGTTTGAATGTCTATGCCTTCCTCTATCCTGATGACTCTTACGTTTGGTTTTTTTATGTTATCCCATATCTCTTGGATGTTTTTCTCGTGATTTTTTACCAGCCTTTCTGAGTTGGCTAGTCTCTTTTCAAGATGATATATTTTGTCTTCATTATCTGACGTTCTGGCTTCTACTTTCTCCACTCTGTTAGTGATACTCTCATTTGAGTTTTTAATTTGGTTTATAGTTTCCTTCATTTCTAGAATTATTGTTTGATTTTTTTTATAATCTCTATCTCCTGATAAAGATGCTTAACTTCTTCTTTTATCTGTTTATGTAATTCATTTTCAATGTGTTCTTTCACTGTTTGGATTTGCTGTCTCGTATCCTCTTTAAGGTTCCATTCCATCTGTCTAAGGTATTCCTTGAGTTCTTTATATGACCATTTTTCTGATGACTCTAGGTCCTCCTGAATATTTAGGCTGTCCTGCATTGTTTGTACTCCTTTTCTTCCTTACTTTTTCATGCTGCTCATGTTACTTCTTGTTCTGTTTGACTGCTGAGTTACTGTTTACTCCTATAAATTTATTTGATGCTTGGGAGGAAAGGTATTAGAAGGGAAGGGAAGAAGTCACTAAAGAGAATGAGAGTAAGCAGGTAGAATTCAAGGAAGGGGGAATAAGGAAATTGAAAAGAAATGAAAAGACAAAAGAAAAAAATTAAAATTAAAAAAAAATTAAAAAAAATTTAAAAAACAACAACAAAAAAATGAAAATGAAAAAAAACCCAAATAAAAAAAAAATTAATAAATGCAGTCTTAGAGTTTGATTAACTTCTCTTCCAGTAGGTGGAGCTGTGCCCACCAGGCCAAGCTTCTCCTCTCAATACGTGGGAACCAATCACTGTGCAGCAGCTCCTCCTCCCAGACTGGGAGGGTCGCCAATCCTGAGTGCCTAGGGCCTTCTTTTGTGTCTAGTCACTTCCCCACTTTTCCTCAAGCCAGGCCCCGCTCACCAGTGACGCTCACCACAATACTGGCTACACGCCAGGTCTGCTGCTCCCGGGAGCCCTGTTTTCATGAACAACTGGGCACACTCTCCCTGTTTGCCATTCCCTCATACCCTAAGTTTGTAGAGCTTGGGGCTGAGAACCCTCAGCAAATTTTGCTAGCCCTCCGGTAGCCACGCCCCCGGTAGCGGGTGCAAGAGACCTCAGTTGTCAGCACTGGTGGGAGCGGTAGCCGGGAGTTCCGCGCTGCGGGTCCCATGCCACTCCTGATTCCCTTGGTCTGGCTATCGCGCTCACGGGAGAGCTGGGAGGGGCCCTTAAGGTTTCCCCGATGTGTGGAGAGGGAAGGCTAGGGGATTACACACCTGTCGCCGCTGGTTTCAATGAAGTTATCTCCTCCGCTGCATTCTGGTGACGTCAGTTCTCTGCCATGGTGGTATCCCATGCAAATGGCGACAGTTCATTCCCTTTGCCGGGTGACCAATGCAATGGGTGGGTCCTGACTGTCTCTCCCAAGCCCCGTTTCAATCCTGTGGCCACTGCCTATGAAGGCTCGGTTGGCATTAACCTCCGTAGGATCAGAAGGTCCCACCAGTTGTTTCCAGGCTCGTTGTGTGTTCTGAGAGGCCCAGACTGTTTGCCCCAGATCCATGTCAGCTCAGCATTGCCTAGTGATCCTGAGCAAACAGCATTTAGACGGTTTACGACTCCCTATGCCCGCACAGCTAAAGAGGTCAGAGACTTGATCTGTCTGCGCCCGCCGCCATGTTGGATCCCTCCAAGTATAGTTTTAATTAGAGTTTAGTATGTGTAACCTGGAACATTCTCAAGGGTAATAAGACCAATGTTTTCTGTTGTAGAATTGTTGGTGAGGACGATGGAGGAAAACTTTTTACTCCTGAAGAATATGAAGAATACAAAAAGAAAGTTTTACCTATGCGCTTACAGAACAGGTTATTTGTGAGCTGGCGATCACCAACAGGAATGGATTGTAAACTCGTTGGCCCGGAGACACTGTGTTTTTGTACACATAGGTAACATAGTTTATTGCTATTTTCTCATGACTAGAAAATAAGAACAATAGCAAAACATATTCTCCTTCCATAAGTAATAATGTGATGATTAAGAAACATTTAAAAATAGGCTTTGGGCTGGGGCTGTAAATCAGAGGCAGAGTGCTTGCCTCACAAGTGTGAGGCACTGGGTTCGATCCTTAGCACCACATAAAAGTAAACAAATAAAGGCACGCAGTCTATCTACAACTAAAAAAAAAAAAAAAAAAAAAAAACACTTAAAAAATAGGCCTTTACATAAAACAATAGAAATACCTAAAAGTTTTTTGTCATTAAATTTTTTTTTGGTTCTATTCTTTTAGATTCATAGACTATGCCTTAAGCACCTCTGTTTTCTTGGTGAACAAGATATTGGTGCTCCTGTGGCTCTGTTGTGGATCTTTCAGTTTGGCTAGGAAGGAGTGTCCACCTGTCCCATGCTACCCATTGATAAACAATCATTCCTTCTCAAATTTACTAATCACCCTTCCCATCCTAAAGAACAGCTGTGTTGATACTTTATTTTAAGAACCTTTCTTTAGAAATAAAAACATAAGCATACACTGCTTTTGTTACAATGTTTGCTTTTGGTTACAAGGATCATGTTCCAAGAAAATCACAGGGGCAAAGAGGTTAGGGGGCTCCAGTCCTTAATGCAGGCTGCCTGGGTCTGAGGTTTGCATTTCTCTGTGTACATGCTCTACTTCAGATTTTTGCTACTGTCTCACAGTTGTAAAGATCAAAATGATCAAACTACTTCACAGAAAGACCACTGAACCTATTATGTGTTTTCAGGCAACAACTTTGATTTTTTGTTCTGAGGAAACCACTAACGGGTAAATTTCTTGTTTTGATAGGAATTCCTGGGGCTCATTTTTGAGAGACTTTTTGTGTAGTTGCTGTTTACAGTTGCACTTTGCCAGAGGTTGTTTTAGGCAGTTGCTAGGATGAGTAATGTGTATACAGATTGACTTTAAGTTTATCTAGCAATCTCAGTTAAAAACATTGTGATGGATGGAGGAGAGGCATGTGTTGCTATCTTTTATAACTGAAGAAGGGTTTGTTAATTTTATGATAGTTTTATAATTCTTAAACGATTTCATGCTGCTTATAGAAAAGAAGATTCAATGAAACAAAGAGCCTAAACCTGAAAGTTGATTTTAAAAAAATAAATAAATAAACTAGATATCATGTGAGGAACCATTTGCATCCCAGAAATATGTAAATAAATTTATTATCAAAATAAAGAGTTTATTTGATGAAAAAAAAAGATTTCATGCTAGTTTCTTATCTATATAGCATTTGTAGAGCATGGATTTGACCCTCAAAAACCCAGCCAAATTCAATGGAGAAACTTGTAGTACTGAGTTTTCTACTCAAACTATTTTTTTCCCCTTGTTATCGAAGTGAGACATTGTCATTAAGGAAAATGGGGAGGAATATAGAAAAGTAGAACACACACCACCCAACAGCCAGTTGCTGTTATACTACTAACTTTATCTATGTAATTTTTTCTTTGCATAGTTCATTTAGTTGTTGGTTTTGTATGTATATAAAATATTAAGCTCTTTTTTAATGACAGAATCACAGAAATGTTTATACATTATTATAGTAATCTCAAACGAGATTTTTAATCCCTGCGCGATACTCCAGCTAGCCCAGTGGTGTTCATCATGTGTTCACTGAGCTTTGAGCAAGACTCAAGGGTGCACCAGCTGGAAGGGCAGGTTAAGGGAAGAGAAGGGGGCCTTCAATTCCTGCTTTCATCTATTTTACATACAGTGTTATGATTCCGTGAAAGATTTTATTTGAAGAAAGGGTTTAAAAAGTTTGAAAACTATCCTCTAGTCATTTGCTTATCTAAACCCATATATGTGTGAATATGCATATGTACACTTGTACACATATGGTATATATTTGCTATTATAGATACTATTGTTAATATTGTCTTTATGCACAATGCTTTTTCTTTATGTGTAATTATTTTCTTAGGGTATTTTTTCCAAAATGAACTTTCTGTGTGAAAAGATGGCTTTATTAAATTTCTTGAAGCATTGTTAAATGCAATTGGTTCTTCTTTTACTCTCTCCTCAGCCACTATATGCAGTTGTAAATTACATAATTATAAACTACATGTATTTTTTAAAAAGGTGGCTCTTTTTTCTAAGTGAAAACTATTATGTCATTGTTTAACCTAAATTTCTTAGATCCTTATTAAGAATAAGACAAATTTAATATTATTTTACTAAGTGGCTCCTTCTGAGAAGGAGTAAAAAATTACTAACAATCTTTTAACAGAATTTTAGTTTTTAAAATATCTGAGGTTTACTTTGAAATAAAAGTTAAAATTATATTAAAATAAGTTGCAATAGTACATACATATGGAGCCTACTTCAATTTAAAAATCAAACCATGAAAATAAATTTAAGTAGTGCATTTAATCAAAAGCATTTTTTTAAATACTTATTTCTTTTAGTTGTAGTTGGACACAGTATCTTTGTTTATTTATTTGTTTGTTTGTTTTTGTGTGGTGCTGAAGATGGAACCCAGGGCTAACGCCTACCGCTAAGCCACATCCCCAGCCCCTCAAAAGCATTTTTATAAAGAACCTTTTTGACACTCTCAGGTTATGCATACATATCAGAGGATCTGCATTGATGAGCAAGTATTTTATGTATCTTGGTATTTCTATGAAACTTCTTATATAACTTAAAATAAAAATCTAAAAGTATGAAGATTCCCTCTGACCAAAGCTGACAAATACTGCATACAGGGGAGTTTGTTTTCCTTATTAACAAGAATAGCAAAACCAAACAAAAAAGAATTGTATTTGCATGAAAGAATAGAGATTGTAACTTTTGGTAATACCTGATTGTGTTTGTATGTCTTCCCTTTCTTTTTTCAGGTATAAGCAACATAAAACTGACTTTGAAACAATTCCATAGCAGCGCCCTATTGATCTGCCTTGCCAAGTGATTGGCTGCCAGTGCAGGGCTTACCTTTTCGTGCCTTTGAATGGCACGCAGCCTGTTCGCTGCAGATGCAAGCACTTTGCTGATCAACACAGCCCTGCACCTGGTTTTACATGCAATGCATGTAAGTTACACTATTATTCATAGCCGCAGGTTGGTTGAATTTCTCTATTATTGAATATTGAATGTGTCTTTGTACCAGTTTAATCAGGTACAGACCTCAATATTAAAGAGCTAAGCAGACTGGAATAGAGCACAGGAGGGAGGGTGTCTATGTGGGGCTAAAGTGGCTTTGGTTAAAACAGAGGTGGATGTGGATAAGGAACTCAAGGAGGACCCTCATTAACTCACACATATTATCCAAATTATTCATGGCCCTGGATTATTCCTTATGATCATCCTATTTTATAAGAGCTTCATGCATGAAATTACATTATATGTGGATTTACTTAACACAAAATATATATTTAATTTACTTACACAAAATATCTTTATTACTAGGGCACAGTGGGGCACACCTCCAATCCCAGGGGCTGGGTAGGTTGAGGCAAGAGGATCTTGAGTTCAAAGCCAGCCTCAGCAATGGCGAGGCGCTGAACAACTCAGGGAGACCCTGTCTCTAAATAAAATACAAAATTGGGCTGGGGATGTGGCTCAGTGGTTGAGTGTCCCTGAATTCAATCCCCAATACTCATTCCCCGAAATAAAATATCTTTATTAATGATCCAACCCTGACAGAAACAACTCTTCCTATTCTTCTTTTCAACAAAAGCCTAAAAGAGGAGGAGTCAAATGGGCATTCACATCACATCAGTTCATTCAGCAAATAAATCAGAGCACCTACTCTGTCCTAGGCACTATCATTCCAGGCACTGAAATATAGTGGTAGGCATGAGCATGACCTTCCTCACTTGCAGACACAATTCAGCCTCTTGGTATTTTGGTCTCTTGATATCTGCAATTATCTCTTCATTTTGAATTTTATCTTATCTTGAATTGAAAAAAAAACAACTAAGCAAAATTTAATGTATAGATACATAGAGTTATTGGTATGCTTAAAAATCATGAACTCTAACCTCATAAGTTAATGGGAATAGATTTTATTTAGAGAATTATAAGACACGATCCAATTTGATTCAAAAATTTAAAAAGTGGGAGTTTAATCAACTAAATTTTTCTTGTTCTTCTCTCCTGCTCCTTCCTCTTTTGTTTTTCTTGTTTGGGGGATCAAACCAGGGCCTTGTGCATGCTAGGCAAGAACTCTACCACTGAGCTACAACTGCAGGCCTCAACTAAGTTATTTTTCAGATTTAAAATATATAAATGTCTGTGTATTTTTTAGTTGTACTTGGATACAATACCTTTATTTATTTATTTATTTTTATGTGGTGCTGAGGATGGAACTCAGTGCCTTGCACATGCTAGGCGAGTGCTCTACTGCTGAGGCACCACCTCAGCCCCTTTTCAGATTTCTAAAAAGAATTTCACACATCAAATACTTGAGCTGAGTCAGGCGAGGTGGCGCATGCCTGTAATCCAGTGGCTTGGAAAGCTGAGGCAGGAGGATCTCGAGTTCAAAAGCAGCCTCAGCAAAAAGTGAGGTGCTACCATCAGAACCTGTCTCTAAACAAAATATAAAATAGGGCTGGGGATGTGGCTCAGTGGTTGAGTGCACCTGAATTCAATCCCTGTCATAAAACAAAAATCTTTGGGGGCCTGATATGATACTCACAATTTTTCAGATTGGGGAGTAGTCTATGCAAATATTCCAAAATCCAAAGAAGTCTAAAATCTGAAATATTTCCAGGCCTAAGAACTTTTGATAAGGGAAACTTAACCTCTAAAACATTTTAATTGAAAGAAGCAGGAATGAACATGTTTCAAAGACTTCATATAAGTGTTGGATAAAGAAGATTTATGTTCTCTTCTCTATTTTTGAGAGGTATGATCTGGTTATGATTCTGCTAATGATATATTCTGGCTTCCATTCCAATATGGCTTGTTTTTTTTATATAAAAACTTTATTTAGATATAATGCACATCTTTAAGACATACAATTTAATGATTTTAAATATATTCATCAAGGTGAATCTTGTGCAGGTAACAGCATAATACATTTTAGAGCATTTTCATTACCTTAATAAGAAACTCCATATTTGTTAGTAGTCATTCCTTATTCCTATCTCTCTCCACCCCTTTGCAACCACAGTCTACTTTCTATTTCTATGGATTTGCCTATACTGGACATTTCATGTAAGTTAAATCATAGGATATGTGGTCTTTTGTGACTGGCTTCTTGGACTTAGCATAATATTTTCATGACTCCTTGGTGTTGTAGCATTCATCAGTACTATCCTTTGGATCTTTTTTGGGTTTATGGGTTGGTTTTTCTGTATGGCTTTTATCGGAGCTGATCTGTAGGGTATTCCACATGATTTCAACCTGGACCTGCCCACTGGGCTGTCCCCATCATATGTGCATTTAACTTGGGTTTTGAGGACAGGGCCTGCATTTCCTATACTGCATTCTTTAACTTCGTTACTTTAGTCCCAGCTGGTTTTGCAAAAAAAATCTTTCCTTCTATGTACCTTATGTATGCACTTACCACTTCACCATCTTTCAGCAGTAAGAGCAGTGGCCTGCAGGGAGGTCAGGGGCACTGGGATAAAGGGTCAGAGGATCTAGATTCAGCCATCTTTGGCCAAACCATATCCTTTGGGCGGACAGTACAGTCCCTGAACTCTAAACATGTAACGTCTTTTACGTCTTTATTCAGGTTCCAAGTGTTCAGGATTCCATAGCTCTTTCACGTGTGCTTGTGGTCAGCCTGCATATGCCCATGACACAGTCGTGGAAACAAAGCAAGAAAGAATGGCTCAGGGAAAACCAGTGGGACGGGATGTTCCTTATGCAGCAATGGGAGGATTAACTGGTTTCAGCTCACTGGCAGAAGGCTACATGCGATTAGATGACAGTGGGATCGGTAAGTGATGACAGATGAATTGTGATCTTGTCATGATTTTTATGGTGCTAACAGTAGTGAAGTCTTTGTTGAGCAATTTTTGTTCATCATGTTTATTTTTTTAGAAAATATTCCCTCAGTTGATTGTTAATCTTTAGAAGGTTTCATTGCCACTATGTGATACATTGTCATTATATAGAAAATTTAGGAAAAAAACAAGGAAAAAGATCATTTCTACTTCAGTACCTGCACGTATCCCAATTCATATCCCCATTGTTTGTGATAGCCAAATAATGTTTATTTTATTCGACATGATACGGTTTACTTGTTACCCTATTTTATCCTGTTTTTAGCATTATAATCATCTCATTTTGGAAAACTGTAGGCCTATGCTCATGTGTGTATATGTACCTTTGCCTGCATACATGAAATCACATCTATATAAAATTTGTCCATACATGTATATACCCCCATATATCTTCTGTGTACATGTAAGTCTAACTAATATAGGGGAAGGTTTAATAGGATGTATTCTAAACTCTTGAAGGTAGCTGTAAACTTAAGAGAGTTGAGGGGGACTGGGGAGGTGAATATGTTCCCTGTCTACATTAAACACTTCTATGTGGGAATTTTATTTTCTTTTTACAACAAAGATATATTTTATTTTTACATTAAAAATTATGTAAACATACATGTATACTTTCTTGTAAAACTTCAAACAATAGAAATTAAATATAAAGTCCCATTGTACACACTTTTCGTTACACCACTTTCTTTCCCTTACGCCACTTTCTTTCCCTTACGCCACTTTCTTTCCCAGAGAGTAATTTGCTGTCATTAACTAACTTAATTTTCTCTTAAGCATACATTTTTACAATTTACTTCTTTTCCTTAGAAAAATTTTGAGGCCTATTATGTCAGGAAATATGAATTTATTTCATTATTTTTCATTGCTACACAGTATTCCACACTGGAGTTTATCAGTTTAGCTTCCTTGTTCATAGCATTTAAGTTTCCATATTTTTTGCCATTACACACAATCTTGTCCAGAAAAATACTTGAACTTGCTTCCTTGTTTCCTTTTATGACTTTGACTTTAAGGTAGCTATAGGGAAGTAGAATTGCTGGGGTGAAGTGTGTGCGCATGTGAATTTTTAATATATGCCGAATGCAAGTTGTCTTCCCCAAATGCAAACACTTCTCTTTTTTTCTCTAAATATTTATTTTTTAGTTATAGGTGGACACAATATCTTTATTTTATTTTTATGTGGTGCTGTGGATGGAACCCAGTGCCTCATGCATACTAGGCGAGTGCTCTACCTCTGAGTCATAATCCCAGCCCCAGAACTTGTGCCGCAGTCCGGCTGCAGCAAAATAACCGGGGGGGTGACGAATAACTTGTGTCTCGAAATGGCCATTTTTCCTCTCGCCCTATCTGCCTAGGGACGAGCAGATTTGCTCCCGTCCTATCTATGGACGGGCAGCTTTTATTTTCATCACTTACCCCCAAGTGTCCCGGGGCTCCCCGTAACGGGCCACCAATGACATCATCAGCAAAAATACCCCAACACTACCACAAGTCGCTGCACCAACAGATAGTTCACAAGGCATACAGGTGAGCTCGCAATGTGTCCAGGCAAGTTCTGCAAGCAGTTCAGTGATGGCTATTGTAGAAGCTGTAGATTGGTTTTATCTTTGACTTCACCAGCACTGGGATGAAGATAGGAATTCTGGCAATAATGGCTAAAGAAAAATTATGTAACATTACAGAAGGCACTAAAAGAAAACAATTTTCTTAACAATTTACATTGTCTTCACCGGCACTGGGATGAAGATAGGAATTCTGGCAATAATGGCTAAAGAAAAAATTATGTAACATTACAGAAGGCACTAAAAGAAAACAATTTTCTTAACAATTTACATTATCTTTAAGAGAATTATTAAATATAATGAAAAGGAAAGGTGAAAGTAAACAAACTGATCTGTTAACCTTCTTTTTTGTTTACATATTAAAACAATCCTCAACAGTTGTTTACCCAATTTAAATTAAACCATATAAATCACGTGAAAAAAAAAATATTTGGATCCATTTTATCATGAGCGCTCATCATATATGATATATGGACATACATACATTCAAACATATGACACAAAACACAAGTGTGCACACATAATATAATACATACAACACATAACATTATAGTAAAGGCCTTATAACTTTTTACAGGTGAAATCTCCATTGCAATGTTTAAAAACTCTACAGTCAAAAAATAGAACTGATCAGCAAAACATTAACCTAGGTCTGTATGAGCTCAAAAAACAAAATAGAACTTCATGATATGGCAAAGGGCAATAATAAAATAGATATTGAAAAAAGCATCCTGGTTCTGTTGCAGATGTAAGAATAGCCAAACTGGAGTTTTGGATATCGGTTGTTATGGATTTGAGCCAAATCATCTTCTTTTTGGTCTGTAGAAATCGCTTTAGTTAATCTTTCTGGAATCCAAATCGGCTGCTGTTCTCCCTGTGGAAACACACAAACAGACCCCCGACTCCAGAAAATTATGGGGTCAGGACCTTTCCATTGTCCTGTTAGAATATCCTTCCAAAGTACCTTGGGCTTATGCACATTTTTTGGACACATATGCCTTTCCGCAGCACTAAGTCCTGATGAATCCAAATTTAAAAAGTTTAGAGTAAAAAGGGTTATTTTGAGTTTATATTTGGGGAATATATACCCCTTCCCAATTCCCTCTTTTTGCTTTAATAAGTACATTTTAATAGTTTGATGAGCTCTTTCAACTATGCCTTGTCCCTGTGGATTGTATGGGATTCCTGTTATATGAGTAATGCCAAATGTTGAGCAAAATTGTTTAAAAGAGGTAGAAGGATAACCAGGGGCATTATCTGTTTTTAACTGTTTTGGAACACCCACAGTGGCAAAATTTTGTAAGCAATGAGCTATAACATCTTTAGTTTTTTTCTCCGGCATGAAGGGAGCCCATCAAAAATCCAGAAGAAGTATCAACTGTAACATGCAAATATTTTAATTTTCCAAATTCTGGCAAGTGTGTGACGTCCATCTGCCAAATATGGTTAGGTATCAATCCTCTAGGATTGATTCCAAGATTAACTTGTGGTAAAAAGGTCACACAATTTTGACATTGTTTTATTATTTGTCTAGCTTGTTCCTTAGTTATTTTAAAACGCTTTTGTAAAGTATTAGCATTGAAATGGAACTTTTTATGAAAATTTATAGCTTCTTCTAGTGTAGAAAAAATATGTATGTCATGTGTAGTTTTATCTGCTAAATCATTGCCCAAACTAAGGGCTCCAGGCAATCCTGTATGTGCCCTGATATGTCCTATAAAGAATGGATCTTTTCTGTCCCAGATTAGACTTTGTATAGTGGAAAGCAAAGAGAAAACAGTAGAAGAAGGGGAAATCCTACCAGCATCTTCAAGAGATACTATAGCATTAACTACATACTGACTATCAGAAAATAAATTAAATACAGAATCTTTAAACATCACAAAAGCTTGTAATACTGCATTAAGCTCTACCTTTTGAGCTGATTGTTTGGGTACTAAAAATGTAAAAGTTTGATCAGGGGTAACTACTGCTGCTGTACCATTATTTGACCCATCAGTGAATATATTTGGAGCATTCATGATAGGTGTTTTTCTTGTCATTTTTGGAAAAATTACAGAATGCAATGACCAAAAAGACAGTAAAGGATTAGATGGTAAGTGGTTATCAAATGAAACATTAGATTTGCACATGATTATTGCCCAAGTATTTAACTCATTAGCTAACTCATCAATTTGATTCATAGTATATGGAGTAATAATTTTATTGGGAGAAATTCCAAACACTCCCTTTGCTGCTTTTATTCCTTTGAGTATTAATTGTCCTACAGCCTCAGGATACCTAGTAAGAATAGTGTTAGGAGAATAAGATAAATGTATCCATAATAATGGACCTTCTTGCCAAAATACTCCTGTAGGAATATTTTTTGTTGGTAGTACAATGAATAATAAAGGCAAACTTATACCAATTCTATCCAAATGCATATTTTCCATTTATGTTTCAATGATTTTTAATGCCTTTCTTGCTTCAGGCGTTAACATTCAGGGTGAATTTGGATCTGATGGACCTTTTAGGATATCAAATAAAGGTCCCAATTCTCCTGTTGGTATACCTAGATAAGGCCTTATCCAATTTATGTCTCCTAATAACTTTTCAAAGTCATTAAGTGATTTGAGTTGATCTACTCGTATTTGAATTTTTGGTGGACGGACCATGGTTGAGGATAATAGAACTCCTAAATAATTAATTGGAAAATTTAATTGTACTTTATCTATTGCTATCTCTAGATTATAATTTTTTAATAAGTTTGTAAGTGTGGCATAACATTCTAGCAATGTGTTTTTATCTTTGTGTGCTAATAATACATCATCCATATAGTGAAATATTTGTAGTTCAGGATTTTGATTTCTAAGTGGCTGGATTACTTTGTTAACATAAATTTGACACATAGTTGGGCTGTTAGCCATCCCTTGAGGGAGTACTTTCCATTCATATCTCTGATCAGGACCTTCATGATTCAGTGCAGGGATAGTAAATGCAAAATGTGGACTATCCTCAGGATGAATTGGAATTGAAAAAAAACAATCTTTAATATCTATAACTAAAACATACCAGATTTTTGGCAAAGCAGACAACTGAGGAATCCCTGATTGAGCAGGCCCCATAATAACCATCTCATTATTAATGGCTCTTAAATCTTGCAATAATCTCCATTTACCAGATTTCTTTTTGATGACAAAAATGGGAGTATTATGGGGAGATACAGAAGGTTGTATATGTCCTTCCGCTAATTGTTGTTTGACCAGGTCATGGGCTGCTTGTATCTTTTCTTTAGTCAGGGGCCACTGAGGAACCCATACTGGTCTTTCTGATTTCCAAGTAATTTTTATTGTCTCAGTGGCCCTTTCTGAAAATCCAACCCATGTCTGTCT